GCAAACATAGGTTAGGAATTATGGCTGTCGATTAATCACAGTTACTTCACACGATTAACCCAAAAAAATTAATGATTAATCGCAGTTTTAATCGCACTGTTAAACAATAGAATACCAATTGAAATTTATTAAATATTTTTGGATGTTTTACTACATTTTCAAATATATTGATTTCAATTAAATCACTGAATACGCAGTGTACACTGCTCACTTTATATTACTTTGGATTACAAATATTTGCACTGTAGAAACGATAAAAGAAACTGTATTTTTCAATTCACCTCATACAAGTACTGTAGTGCAATTTCTTTATCATGAAACTGCAACTTACGAATATAGATTTTTTTGTTACATAACTGCACTCAAAAACAAAACAATGCAAAACTTTAGAGCCTACAAATCCTACTTCTCGTTCAGCCAATCGTTAAGTCAAACAAGTTTGCTTACATTTACAGGTGATAATGCTGCCCACTTCTTATTTAAAATGTCACCAGAAAATAAGAACAGGCATTCACATGGGACTTTTGTAGCCAGCATTGCGAAGTATTTACGTGCCCGATATACTAAACGTTCATATGCTCCTTCATGCTTCAGCCATCATTCCAGAGGAGATGCTTCCACACTGATGATGCAAAAATAGTATGTTAATAAAATTTGTGACTGAAGTCCTTGGGGGAGAATTGTATGTCTCCAGCTCTATTTTACCCGCATTCTGCCATATATTTCATGTTACAATAGTCTCTGGGAATGACTTAGCACATATTGTTCATTTTAAGAACACTTTCACTTCAGATTTCACAAAACGCAAAGAAGGTACCAATGTGAGATTTCTAAAGATAGCTGCAGCACTTGACCCAAGGTTTAAGAATCTGAAGTGCCTTTCCAAATCTGAGAGGGACGAGGTGTAGAACATGCTTTCAGAAGTCTTAAAAGAGCAACACTCCAATGTGGAAACTACAGAACCTGAACTACCAAAAAGGAAAATCAACCTTGTGGTGGTGGCATCTGATTCAGATAATGAAAATGAACATGTGTCAGTCCGCACTGCTTTGGATTCTTATCGAGCAGAACCTGTCATCAGCATGAATGCATGTCCTCTGGAATGGTGGTTGAAGCAGGAAGGGACATATGAATCTTTAGAACAATTGGCTTGTACATATCTTGCAATGCCGGCTACAGTAGTGCCATGCAAAAACCTGTTTTCACTTTCAGGTGACATTGTAAACAATCAGGCAGCATTATCTCCTGCAAATGTAAACAAATTTGTTTGTCTGAGCAATTGGCTGAATAAGAAATAGGACTGAGTGGACTTGTAGGCTCTAAAGTTTTAAATTGTTTTAATTTTTGACCGCAGGTTTTTTTGTACATAATTCTATGTTTGTAAGTTCAACTTTCATGATAAAGAGTTTGCACTACAGTACTTGTATTAGGTGACTTGAAAAATGCTATTTCTTTTGGCTTTTACAGTGCAAATATTTGTAATAAAAATAAATATAAAGTGAGCACTGTACACTTGTATTCTGTGTTGCAATTGAAATCAATATATTCGAAAATGTAGAAAACATCCAAAAATATTTAAATAAATGGTATTCTATTACTCTTTCTAATCGCTTGACAGCCCGAGCAGGAATAACAGGTCAGTTTTCACAGTGGAGAGTGATAAACAGCGTGGTCTCCCAAGGCTATGTACTGGGACCAGTGCTGTTCTACATATTCATAAGTGATCTGGAAAAGGGGGTAAACAGTGAGGTGTCAAAGTTTGCAGATTATGTAAAATTATTCAAGATAATTAAGTCCAAAGGAGATTGCAAAGAGTTAAAGGGATATCACAAAACTGGGTGACTGGGCAACGAAATGGCACATGAAATTCCAATGTTGATGAATGCAAAGTAATGCACATTGGAAAACAATCTCAAACAACACATACAAAATGATGGGGTCTAAATTAGCTGTTACAACTCAAGAAAGATCTTGGAGTCATTGTGGACAGTTCTCTGAAAACATCTACTCAAGATGCAGCAGCAGTCAAAAAAGGCTAACAATGTTAGGAACCATTAGAAAAGGGAAAGATAATAGAATAGTTAATATAGTCATAAAGTTATGGTACGCCCACACTTTGAATACTATGAGTAGTTCTGGTCACCCCATCTCAAAACAGATATATTAAAATGAGAAAAGGTACTGGCAAGGGCAACAAAAATTATTCAGGGTATGGAACAACTTCCATATGAGGAAATTTAAAAAATTGGGGCTGTTCATCTTGGAAAAGAGATGACTAAGTGGGGCTATGAGCAAGGTCTATATGGTTTTCAACCTTTTTTCGTGGCAACCCAGTTGAAGATTGTTGATGCCCGCGACCCAAAGGAGCTGGGGATGAGGGTTTTGGGAGGGGCTCAGGGCTAGGGCTGCAGGGTCGGTCCAGGGATGAGGGGTTTGGGGTGCAGGAGGGGCTCCGGGTTTGGGGAAGGCTCAGGGCTGGGATGCGGGCTGCTCTTGGTCAGCGGCGCAGCAGGGGTGCAAAGGCAGACTTCCTGCCTGTCCTGGTACCACGGACAGCGCTGTGCCCCGGAAGCAACCAGCAGCAAGTCCAGCTCGTAGGCAGAGGCACAGAAGCACCTCCGCACAGCTCTCGCCCCAGACACCGCCTCCCCCAGCTCCCAGTGGCCAGTTCCCGGCCAATGGGAGTGCAGAGCCGGTGCTCAGGGCGGGGGCAGTGCGCAGAGTCCCATGGCCCTCCCGCCTAGGAGCCAGACTTGCTGCTGGCCGCTTTCAGGATGCAGCGCCGTGTCAGAACAGATAGGGACTAGCCTGCCTTAGCCGGGCAGCACTGCTGACAGGATTTTTAATGGCCCGGTCGGTGGTGCTGACCAGAGCCGTCACGACCCAGGGCCTTACATTCCGCGACCCAGTATTGGGTCATGACTTGAGGTTGAAAACCACTGGTCTAGAACATCATGAATGGTGTGAAGAAAGTGAATAAGGAAGTGTTTACTTCTTCACATAACACAAGAACTAAGGGTCACCCCATGAAATTAAAAGGCAACAGGGTTTAAACAAACAAAAGGAAATACTTCTTCACACAACACACAGTCAGCCTGTGGAACGCATTGCCAGGGGATATTGTGAAGGCCAAAAGTATAACTCAGTTCAAAAAAAGAGAATTAGATAAATTAATGGAAGATAGCCATTGGATGGACCTATTAGCCACCCATGCTCTGGGAACCCCTAAACCTCTGAGGCCAGAAGATGGGATTGGATAATAGGGGATGGAGCATTCAACAAATTGCCCTATTCTGTTCATTCCCTCTGAAGCATTTGGTAGCAGCCACTGTTGGAAGACAGGATATTGGGCTAGACAGACCATTAGTCTGACCCAGTACTGCCGTTCTTATGTAAGGGAAAATCTCTAGTCCCCAAATAGACTATTAGAGACGAGTTACTATACCTGAAAAAATGACGATCAGGCAGGGCAACCTTCAAGCTTGCTAGTGGGTTCTGTAGTCTACTATTTACAGTCCCACATAGGCCTTACAGCAATTTTGCAGTTCATTAGGAAGACCTCTTAATTTTGTTGTTGTTTGCAATTTGGTTCAACAGTTGAGTTTACTAAACCCAACTCCTATTTAGGCACCAGCCCTGCACAGGCAAGTCATATTGACATCAGTTGCCAATGCAATGGTGCTGGGAACTACCAATGCTAGTCCAGTTGCAGGAGTGTGGTCTTAGTTTGTAAAGACACAGATTATCACTATTCTGTGACCAAGGACAATAAAATGATACTGTCAACAAAGAGAAAAAACACCCTTCTATATGAAAAATTTTCTCCTACAAACACCACCTCTGATAGAAACAGGAAGAAAATATTATTTTTCGTTTTACTCCGATAGCACTTTGCAAAGTCAGTTTCAGTGTTTCTCCTGGAGTATCAATTTCTCGGGGGGGGGGGGGAACCACCCAGGAAAACATGAATGTACAGAAATTGAAAGAGGGACTCAAGGGCAGATGTAGTATCTGAAACTGTATTTAAAAAATTCTTTTTTTGAAATTGTTCCATTTTCAAGTTGATGGTGTTCCTCTACATGCATCTAAAACTCTAGGTTTAAGATGTTTTCAGACTGCTCCCTTTTCAGTTTAGGCAGGAGTTTATGCAGTGTTTCTTGGATTAGTGACTACATAAAAACGGCATTTTGTTACTCAGCTCTCCTTCCTGTGTGCATTTGGCACATTTGTTTATTGTAAATTAACTAAGTTTTTACATTTTGAATGCACAAGTGTTGTTGAAGTCTTAACTTGTCTTGGAGAACCTTTTAGTGATGCTGTGAGAGAAGTACAGAACCTAGTTCGGAACCCAGACTGAGTTTTCAGGCCTCCCAGTTAGAAAAAGCAATCACTTCACTTGAAAACCATGCATATTTGATATGGAATTTACTGAGAGGCCCCCAATTTTCAAAACAAAACTGCATGTTAAGTTTGGAACTTCATCTGGAGTCTTAGCGAGCAGATAAGAACATATTTAAAGACTGCAATTTCATTCTCAGTACTTCCCAAATTTAAAATGTCAAGAGTAACAAAAAGTAATTTATAATTAGTGCCTTGCATTAGCTCAAAGCACCAGCCAAAACTGTTCAGAGATTTAAATGATCCTTAGTGGTTAAGTAAGGCAGATATCAAAAGTCTTGAGCAGTACAGCATTCCATATTCTTAGGTAAACTCAAGCCCCATTGAAGAGGAATACTGTAAAGGAGCTGCATATAAACTGCTTAAACACAAAGCTTTTTTACTCAACTTAAAAGAACAGCTTCAATTTATACCTGCATATTGTTTGCAAACAAAAATCATCACAAATTAAAATCCTTGTTTAAACAAATGATCATTTATAAAGTATAATTTAAATACGAAGGCTCTTTCCCACCCACCCATAACACTCAATGGAATTTTTTACTATAAATAATTGCAGAGTACAGATTAACAAGGAGGTTGATTTTACCATTTTAACTTACCATTCCATTGGAATTATTTATTCCATTCATATTGATTTTAGTTACAAATCTAACTGTTGGAGGTGCTTCTGGATATTTAGGTCCACACTCTACTTTCAGACTGTATATTCTGTTTTCATAGTTTGTCTAAAAAGAAAAACAAAAAGATTAATGCATCTTACTGAAAGTTGTTATTTAAAAAGTACTTTAGAAATACACAAACACAGCAAGATGGGTTAGGGAGAGGAAATATGTAATGGGATGATTTTAACTCTGTTTTTATTATTTTACAATTGAGGTCTTTGATTACTTTGTGACATGTCAATGCCTCAGTTATCTTGATTAGCTGATCAATATGCAATATTTTTTTAACAAAGATTTAACTACGTTAAAATAATCATTGCGTAAAAAGGCACCTATTATAGGTATCGAAAGCACCACATACAAAAAACAAACAAAAGACATTTTTTTAAAAAAACTATACAGAGAAAAGAGGACTAACCCACTGGCAAAGCTAAGCCACACATACGCTTCCTCCCCACCCCTGAACTCTGGCACAAGGGCAAACCTAAACCATCGGGCAAACCACCCTTACCAAAAGGTAAATCCTCTAATGCAGCAAAGATCAGGACAGGGGAAGAGGTAGATGAATATAAAACAAAAGGAGAAAAGCCTAGAAACACTCAAGAACAAAGACCAAAATAAATGGAATTTGCAACAAAATCCTGTAGAAGCAGTTTAGTAGTAACTATGGAAGAACTCCAGGAACAAATTCCACAATTTATGGCTTATGAGCAAGAAAGCTCTGCCTGAACATAGAACAAAGAAAACCAAGCCAACTGCCAAAGAGGACATGATCAAGTACTCATGGCTAGATTATGAAAGGATTTATCTACTATGATATTCAGTTGTACCTCACACTGGCAACCGACTCTCTTTCTCCTCTACACAGGAGCAACCATGGAAACAGCTACTTTCTGTAAAAACTGGTTACCTACATTCCTACTACTGTTGTTCTTTGAGATGTCCTGCACATGTCCATTCCACATGTTCGCACCTTGTGTGCGCTTGTCTGAGAACTTTTTCCCTCAGCAGTACCCATCGGGGTAGCTCAAGCACCCTCTGACCCACATGTCACTGCATGCTCGCATAAGAAGAGCCACCCCTGACCCTCCTCAGTTCCTGTGTACCTGGCAGACTCTGACAAAGAGGAGGAGGAGGAAGACGACAGGTTGTGGAATGGACATGCAGGGAAACAAGCAGGGAGAACTGGAAGTCCTGGCACAGTCAAGGAATGATGATGTGACTGGAATAAGAGAGACTTGGTGGGATAACTCACATGACTGGAGTACTGTCATGGATGGATATAAACTGTTCAGGAAGGACAGGCAGGGCAGAACAAGTCGGGAGTTGCACTGTATGTAAGAGAGCAGTATGACTGCTCAGAGCTCCGGTATGAAACTGCAGAAAAACCTGAGAGTCTCTGGATTAAGTTTAGAAGTGTGAGCAACAAGGGTGATGTCATGGTGGGAGTCTGCTATAAACCACCGGACCAGGGGGATGAGGCTTTCTTCCAGCAACTAACGGAAGTTACTAGATCGCAGGCCCTGGTTCTCATGGGAGACTTCCAGCAGATATCAGGATGATTGGAGAGCAATACAGCGGTGCAGACAATCCAGGAAGTTTTTGGAAAGTGTAGGGGACAATTTCCTGGTGCAAGTGCTGGAGGAACCAACTAGGGGCAGAGCTCTTCTTGACCTGCTGCTCACAAAGTGGGAAGAATTAGTAGGGGAAGCAAAAGTGGATGGGAACCTGGGAGGCAGTGACCATGAGATGGTTGAGTTCAGGATCCTGACACAAGGAAGAAAGGAGAGCAGCAGAATACGGACCCCAGACTTCAGAAAAGCAGACTGACAACCTCAGGGAACTGATGGGCAGGATCCCTGGGAGAATAACTTGAGGGGGAAAGGAGTCCAGGAGAGCTGGCTGTATTTTAAAGAATCCTTATTGAGGTTACAGGAACAAACCATCCCGATGTGTAGAAAGAATAGTAAATATGGCAGGCGACCAGCTTGGCTTAACAGTGAAATCCTTGCTGATCTTAAACACAAAAAAGAAGCTTACAAGAAGTGGAAGACTGGACAAATGACCAGGGAAGAGTATAAAAATATTGCTCGGGCATGCAGGAATGAAATCAGGAAGGCCAAATCACACCTGGAGTTGCAGCTAGCAAGAGATGTGAAGAGTAACAAGAAGGGTTTCTTCAGGTACGTTAGCAACAAGAAGAAAGTCAAGGAAAGTGTGGGCCCCTTACTGAATCAGGGAGGCAACCTAGTGACAGAGGATGTGGAAAAAGCTAGTGTATTCAATGCTTTTTTTGCCTCTGTTTTCACCAACAAGGTCAGCTCCCAGACTACTGCATTGAGCAGCACAGCATGGGGAGGAGGTGACCAGCCCTCTGTGCAAAAAGAAGTGGTACGGGACTATTTAGAAAAGCTGGATGAGCACAAGTCTATGGGGCCGGATGCGCTGCATCCGAGAGTGCTAAAGGAGTTGGCGGATGTGATTGCAGAGCCATTGGCCATTATCTTTGAAAACTCATGACGATCGGGGGAGGTCCCGGACGACTGGAAAAAGGCTAATGTAGTGCCCATCTTTAAAAAAAGGGAAAGAGGATGATCCTGGGAACTACAGACCAGTCAGCCTCACCTCAGTCCCTGGAAAAATCATGGAGCAGGTCCTCAAGGAATCAATTCTGAAGCACTTAGAGGAGAGGAAAGTGATCAGGAACAGTCAGCATGGATTCACCAACGGCAAGTCATGTCTGACTAATCTAACTGTCTTCTATGATGAGATAACTGGCTCTGTGGATAAGGGGAAAGCAGTGGACGGGTTGTTCCTTGACTTTAGCAAAGCCTTTGACACTGTCTCCCACACTATTCCTGCCAGCAAATTAAAGAAGTATGGGCTGGATGAATGGCCTATAAGGTGGATAGAAAGTTGGCTAGATTGTCGGGCTCAATAGGTAGTGATCAATGGCTCCACGTCTAGTTGGCAGCCGGTATCAAGTGGAGTGCCCCAAGGGTCAGTCCTTGGGCCAGTTTTGTTCAATATCTTCATTAATGATCTGGAGGATGGTGTGGATTGCACCCTCAGCAAGTTTGCAGATGACACTAAACTGAGAGGAGAGGTAGATACGCTGGAGGGTAGGTAGAGGATACAGAGGGCCCTAGACAAATTAGAGGATTTGTCTAATGAGGTTCAACAAGGACAAGTGCAGAGTCCTGCACTTAGGAAGGAAGAATCCCATGCACTGCTACAGACTAGGGACCGAATGGCTAGGCAGCAGTTCTGCACAAAAGGACCTAGGGGTTACAGTGAACGAGAAGCTGGATATGAGTCAACAGTGTGCCCTTGTTGCCAAGAAGGCCAATGGCATTTTGGGATGTATAAGTAGGGGCACTGCCAGCAGATCGAGGGATGTGAGGCCTCATCTAGAGTACTGTGTCCAGTTTTGGGCCCCACACTATAAGAAGAATGTGGAAAAATTGGAAAACGTCCAGCAGAGGGCAACAAAAATGATTAGGGGACTGGAACACATGACTTCTGAGGAGAGGCTGAGGGAACTGGGATTGTTTAGTCTGCGGAAGAGAAGAATGAGGGGGGATTTGATAGCTGCTTTCAACTACCTGAAAGGGGGTTCCAAAGAGGATGGATCTAGACTGTTCTCAGTGGTAGCAGATGACAGAACGAGGAGTAATGGTCTCAAGTTGCAGTGGGGGAGGTTTAGATTGGATATTAGGAAAAACTTTCTCTAGGAGGGTGGTGAAACACTGGAATGCGTTACCTAGGGAGGTGGTGGAATCTCCTTCCTTTGAGGTTTTAAAGGTCAGGCTTGACAAAGCCCTGGCTGGGATGATTTAGTTGGGGATTGGTCCTGCTTTGAACAGGGGGTTGGACTAGATGACCTCCTGAGGTCCCTTCCAACCCTGATATTCTATGATTCTATGTGCAACACATCTTTGAGAACATCAGTTACAGAAAGATAGGTAACAGTTTTTAAATTTGAGTGCTTGTACATGTCCATTCCACTGCAGGTGACTCACAAGCAGACAAACACAGAGGTGGGCTAGGAATCTACCTGAACAGTGATTATGGGACAACGTGCCTGAAATTAGCATTGGCCCTGGACTGACAGGAAATGTCATAATGAAAAGAAAGAGGTATGAACTGATGACCAGGACATTGCTTTACAAATGACTGTGATCAGCACTTGTGCCAAGAAAGCCACTGAAGTTGCCTGTGCTCCAATAAAATGCACCAATACTCTAACTGGTGGGGCTATATTAGCCAACTGGTAGCATAAACAAAAGCACAAGGAGATCGAAGATGAGATTCTCTGAGTGGAAACTGGTTGGCCCTTAGCCCTGTCCACAACTGCAACAAACAACTGTGTGGAAGATCTACAGGACTTAGTACACTCAAGGTAGAGAGCTAAAGCCCTTCTCACATCCAGTGTAGTCTCCTCTCACCTCTATGCACATGGGTTTTCAAGAAGAATGCTGACAAACAGATTTCCTGGTTAACATGAAAAATTAGACTACCTTTGAGAAATTTTGGGTGAGGGCACAGATAAATTTTATCCTAATGACAGGAGGCTCTGACACTCGGGCTCTCAACTTGCCCATTCTTCTGCTGAGGTGGCAACTAAAAATGCTACCTCTATAGAGAGCTGGAGCAAAGAGCAAGTTGCAAGGGGTTCAAAAGGTGGTCCCATTAACTTTGCTGGGACCAGTTCAGATCCCATGGAGGTATAGGATCTTGCACATGTGGGTACAATCTGATCAAGCTCTTTATGAAACTGGTAGTGATGGAGTTGGAGAAAAGGAATCTACTATCCACCAAGGTCTGGAAGGCTTATATAGCTCTGTAAGAGGACATCTGGCAGCTAACTGCCAAACTTTGATGTTTTAGGTACAGAAGAGAGTTAAGTACAAGGCTCAGAGGTACATGCTTTGGGGATATGCCTTTCTTCTGGGACCAAATGGAAAAGCACTTTAATTTATGCACATAAGTGCCCCTATTTGAGGGTTTTCTACAATTCAGAAGCACTTCCAGGACAGCCTTAGAACAGGATCTCTCCAAAG